TAATATATATACACATATATAGATGTACAGAGAACCATTCAGAAAGATACTGTGGTTTGAGAGTCAATAAGTAGAACTGAGGATGAAGTTAATGGGAGACTTTACCACTTCACTCTGTATTATGTGAATATATGCAGAGAACTTACATTGCTTTCATTAAATTTTTAACACCTGTGTATATGGACAAAAATTGAATAACAGTGAAAGCTAATTGTTATTCCTTTCAATACTTGGTTGGCAACTTGGAGCAGAAGAACTAAGTGAGTTAGGCTACGGATAGATAAAACACGAGTCTACGAACACATGAAGTCTTTGGGAAGATCAGGAAAGATTAAATCCAGCCATTTCATGACTTCTTCCCCGGCTTGGGTGCTGTTGTGCAGAGGTTATCAAACGTTGCTGAATTGGATCACCGGGGAGGTTCTTAAGAATACTGACTTCTAGGCCCCACCTGACACTTGTTGAATCAGAATCTTGGGCTAGAGTTGGGGAGCCTAGGTAAATCTGATAGCCAGATTCGGAAACCATCACTGTTGGTAGTACAAGCAGAATTAAGACACAGGCCCTGTTTTTAAGGCATTTACTAAGCAAAACAGCAGGAGACAGTAATGTAAGTGATGCAGTATGGGGTTAGTCACCAAAGGGGTGGTGTGGATAAGTACTAAGAGCTCACTGCACTAGGAAGACTGCAGGTGGTTTATGAAGGAGGTGGGATGTAGTAATATTAAAAGCTCATAGGTACACTGAGGAAGGCACTACACCAAGCAATTTACATACAACTCTGTGGGGTGTAGGTATTGTGAATATCCTCACTTTACAGATCAGAAACAGGTTTAGCAAAGTTGAGTAACGTGTCCAAGTTCCTACAGCTGCTAGCGAGTGGTAGGTACATAAGGAGCCCTGGAAGCTTTTGCCACTGTACTTATTAACATTGGGCGGGATTTGAGTCGATAGAAAGGATGAGGATTTTATAGCATGAAGACAGCATAAAGAAGGGTATGGGAAGCACTGACCAGATAAATAAAAGTGGAAGATAAGGTAGGCTAGGGTTGAGTGGTGGAAAGCCTTGAATGTCTGGTTAAGTGGATCCTAAGTGTCAGATGCTCACAGGATCTGACATTTTGAGGTTTGGGGAGAAATATCCGGTGACTTGAAAAGCAACGTTTAGGAGTGAGTGTAGCGTTTTCTCTTCTAGTTTAACCTCGCAGTGTTACATTTCTGATTAGAGAGACGGATTTTGTCTTTTGTGCTCGCTGCCATTTCCCCAGCACTTGGAACAGCACCTGAAACCTAATAGCCACTTGGTAAATATTTGAATAAATACATGAATGAAGTATCTGGCTCAGAAACTATATGAGAGGCTTATTCTCTATTCTGCTCAATGAGCCACAAAATTTAGCTTCTCATCTATTTCCTCCTCCCTCCCCCAGCAAGCCTGATACCAATTTTCCCTGTTCCATTTAGAATCTTCCTTCTTTACATTTTATTTTCTGCAGAGGTCAGAATGTCAACTTTTTAATTCCTTAAAAACTATTTATTCTGTCATAATCCTTCTTCCAGCCATCTCTGGTTATCCCCTGCCATTCTCACTGCTGGTCACCATAGGCCCGAAACCTTTCCCACCTGTTCCCCTGTGGGTCTCTGGACTTAGCTCCCGCCTCCCGCCTCTTCCTGGATCCAGTCAGTCCTGCAGGGCATTACCAGGCCTCATTCTCACACCTCCGAGGACTCCTGGTCCTACCGCTGCTTCTCAGATGCCTTCACAGGGGAAAGCCCACCTCTGTCCTCAGTTTGCTTTCAGGGCTCTCCAGCCTGCCCCAGGCACATACTCCCAGCCTCTGCGCTGCTCTCTCAGATGGTTCCTCTCAAACAGGTTTTCTTGCTGCCATCAAGTGGGCCATTTAGTTCGTTCTTCCGTCCCATCTGCCTGGAATGCCTTCCCTTTCTTTGCCTCCCTACAACCTTTCCACATACCCTTGAAGACTGCTTGGATCCCAGCTCCTTTACCTCACTTGCCTATTTTGAATGATTGCTCTTTCCTCTGAACTATATCTGTGTCATAAATAAGCAGCTAATATATTACTTTGTGGTGTCGCTTTTATTGCTGTCTTAGGGCAGTGGGTTTTTTCTCCTTTTATATCTTCATAGCTTATCTCCCCCAGCACATTACAAGATTTTGAAAGCCTGTGAGTGCTCCATAAAAATGAATATTTAGGTTTAGTCATCATATGGATTTTTAAGTCAGATGTGGATGCCAAGATCTATAAATATGCATAGAAAAATTCTTAGGAATCTATGAAAAGCTATTAAAACGAATAACTAATTTAGCAAAGTTAGAGGATCCAAGATTAATAGGTAAAAATCAATTGTATTTTTATACAGTAGCAATAAACAATTGAAAATGGAATTTAAAAAACCCTTCCATTTATAATAGTATAAAATACTTAAGAATAAAGTTAATGAAAGAAATGCAAGACTTATACATTGGAAACTTCAAAACATTGCTGAGAGAAATGAAAGAAAACCTAACAAACTGATATATAGATTCAACACAATCTCAATCAGAATCTCGACAGGCTTTTTGTAGAATTTGACAAGCTGGTTCTGAAATTTACACAGAAGAGCAAAGATATAGAATAGCAAAACCATTCTGAAAAAGAACAGTAGGTTGGAGAAATGACACTATCTGATTTCAGGACTTCACTAGGAAGCTGCTGTAGCCAGGACATTGTGATCCTGGTCAGTGAACAGGCATATACATCAATGAGACGGGATAGAGAGTCCAGAAATGAATGCACAAATACATGGTCAATTGATTCTCAACAAGGTGATTCAAAGGAGGAAGGACAGCCTTTTCAACATATGCTGCTGGGCCGATCAGGCATTCACATGTAGAAAACTGAACCTTGATTCCTACTTTGCATCATATAAAACATTTAACTTGGAATGGATCATACTACATGTATGTGCATATGTAGCATAAATGTATGCTAAATGTAAGCCTGCAACTACCGAACTTGTAGAAGAAAACAGGAGAAAATATTTATGAGCTGGAGTTGGGCAAAGATTTCTTTGCTAGGACACAAAAAGCATGGAGCTGTAAAAGAAAAGAAATGATAAACTGATGTCCTCAAACTTCAAAATTTCTGTTCTTCAAAACACACTGAAAGAAAATGACAGAACAGGCATAAACTATGAGACGATACCTGCAAAGTGCATAACCAGAGACTTGTATCCAGACTATACAGAGAACTCCCTAAATTCAACTGAGGAAAGAACCCAGTAAAAAATGAAGTCACACTATTCTGTGTGATACTGTCACAGTGGATACATGTCATTAAACATTTGTCAAAACCTAAAGGTTATACAACACAGAGTGAACTTTAATGTAAACCGTGAACTTTGGATGATAGTGATGTATCAGTATAGGTTCATCACTTGTAACAAATGTACCACTTTGGTGCAAGTATTTTGACAGCAGAGGAAGCTGTGCGTGTGTGGAGGCAGAAGGTATATGAGAACTCTCTGTACTTACTGCCCAGTATTTCTGTGAATCTAAAATACGAAGTTTTTTTAAACTACAAAATGTTTGAACAGAATCATAAGAGAATAAATTCGCATGGCAAATAAGCAGATGAAATGGTATTCAGTATGATTAGTTATTAGGGAAGTACAAAGTAAAATACTACCACACACCTCTTAGAGTGACTTTTGTTCAAAAGCTGGTGATACCAAGTGCTGACAAAGATGTGAAACACATATTGCTGTATTGCTGGTGGGAATGCAGAATGACACAGCAGCTATAGAAAATGGGTTGGCGGTCTACTTACACGTAAATGTTCATAGCAGCAATATTTATAATGTCTCTAAACTAGAAATGGCCCAGAAGTTCATCAGCTGGTAAATGGGTAAATAAATTGTAGGTAAATAAATCCACATAATGCAGTATTATTCAGCAATTTAAAAAGAAGACATTGCTGATACAACATGGATGAATCTCAAGAGCATCATGTTGAAAGTAGCCAGTCACAAAAGATCCAAATCACTGAACTATGCACTTAAAGTGAGTGAACTTTATTGTATGCAGTTGTACCTAAATAAAATTAAAAAAAAAAAAAAGAAGTGTGGGTATCTGAGACTGAAGTCAGAAAGGCAGGAAGAGCAGGAGTTCTATTTTTCTGCTCTACCTTTAGTGCTTGTCCTTTCACTATGGATCGTCCAGAAATCCCCACTGCTCCATCTTCAAGCTGGTGGAAGTTCATAAGCAAATGGGTAGCAATTGACGTTTCCTACTGAGCTAGACTGAGTTTTATAGCAAAGGATGGAAGTTAATATTGGTCCAAAACTGACTCAAAGAAAAAGTGGCCAGAACCAGATGGGACTTTCTCATCAACGGCACCCACTTTTTTAGCCAGTTATGGTGGTTGGGTTCATGAATGGTCCTTTGGCACACCCTTACGTGTAAGCATGTTACTCAGCATGTGTGTTGAGGATGAAGGGGTGGAGGAGCAGCCAGTGTGTGCACGATTGCCTTTTTAGGTGAGATGTTACTTTGTTGGATGCACTCCTCAGGGTGTTTGATAGTCCTGGCCCCTGGGCGCCAAATGCCTACGGCACTTCCAGTCATGGAGTCACTACAACCATGGCTGCACATTGTCAAGTGCCTCAGGGGTTGTGGGGGAAGGTGTAACCAGCTGGGCAAATAATGCTGTTCTATGGTGTAGGATCAAGAGTGCAGAAGTTGGAGTGAGAGAACCTGTATTCAAATGTCCCTGCCTCTTACTAGCTTTGCAGTCTGTTCAGTGTAGCCCAGCCCATTGAGTGTGGGTTTCCTCTTCTGAGCAGTGGGATGGTTGGCCTCGATGTCCTCTCTCATGGTTCCTGACTCTGCAGTTGAGTGTAGGGCAGCTCAGGACTTCTGTCACCGACAGGAATCTGCTATATTTGATACTGCTTCAGAGAAACAAATGTTTACATGGCTCAATTTTGTCATGTTACAGGTTCAGCTTGTTGGTTTAGATGAAGAGAGTTCGGAGTTTATTTGCCGAAACACCTTTGACCATCCGTACCCCACCACAAAGCTCATGTGGATCCCTGACACAAAAGGCGTCTATCCAGACCTGCTGGCGACAAGTGGCGACTATCTCCGTGTGTGGAGGGTAAGCAGTGCTTGATGGGCAGCCAGACCAACGAGCTTTCTCCGTGTTTGCTGTTGTTAGCAGCGTGGCGTCACGGAGGACAGACTGGGGTAGGAGGCAGTATCCTTGCAGCCCTGGAGAAACAAGTGGTAGTGGATCTGGGCTGTTTGGCTCAGCAGATTTCCTAGTAAATCTCGCCAGGATTCCTTAAGCCCTGCTGCTGGCTGCAGTCAGCCGTGGACACTCAAGTCTCAGTTAAAGTGATGTATGGACAATAGACTTCTGTGGGGGTGGGGATACTAGAGGCCTCTTACTCTATTTATAGCCAGGACTTTTTTTTTTTTAATTGAAGTTTAGTCAGTTTTCAATGTTGTGTCAGTTTCTGATGTACAGCATAATAGTTCAGTCATACATATACATACATGTATTCGTTTTCAGATTCTTTTTCATTTATCAGTTACTACAAGATATTGAATATAGTTCCCTGTGCTGTA